TCACCTAAACCCTAGCTCACGAGATAGGACTTTCTCCTATGGTATACGTCTGATGTAACACTTAGGGATATACGCATAATCAACCCTTTTTTGGTGTAAAAAAGCCTACGCATGAATTCTACCGTCAATTTCAACATACTACGCAGTGAATGACAAGTTTATAACTACTTAATTAATCGAACATAGCTTACCTGGGTGCCAAGTAGCTGCATGAAATTATAGCTCCAATTCTGATTCCTGGATGACAAGACGGTGAATTTGGCCAAGAATTCGCAAGTTATCGATCTCCTTACGCTAGAAATCTCTTCCTCCATCTTTCCCAAGCCTAGAGCAGCTTCTGGAGGGTTTCTGAGGTGATTCCCGCATCTTTTAGGTGTTTTGGGGAAAAAGAGAAAATCAGACTTCGCGTTATTTACATTCTGTCTCGCGCATCCCGCTCTGGCGGCTACTTATCCCACTAGAGCACTGCCACCCTAGCAGCATATGGCCCGCTCTGACGGGACAGTGGCCCCAATGTTTCCTGATGCTTTTCGTTTCCTAATTAACGACGGCTCGGGTCGTTACAGTTGGAGGTCAATAGAAAAAGTAGAGACAAATTTAGAATTTTAAATTTACAAGTTTTTGATTTTAGAAAATAAAGGCAGCTTATTAGATTCTGGATAAATTATTTACACATTTTTAACAGGATTAATACATAATTGTGCCTTTTAATTTTGAGCTCATATCACATTTATGTTCTTCAACTTTGGGTGTGCACAAATGGATACTTAAATTTGAATAAAGTTGAACAAGTAGACACATGATACTCATATGTGACACAATACATGTAGGACATGTATATACGTAGAATGTCACCTAGGATGTATGTGTCTATTTGTTTAACTTTATACAAATTCAAGTGTTACTTGTGTACATACAAAATTGGAAGACATAAATGTGAAATGAGCCCTTGTTAAAGGGGCATATTTATGTATTATGTCTTTTCAATATATTTATTAACACAAACAAATGATTTTGATCAAAACTATTGAATTTTGTTAAATCATTACTTAGAACTCTAGCTCCGATTCTTATTATATGATATATATATATATAGGGATGGGGTATCAATTTAAGTAGACGTTTGACCATAAGATTAAAGCTCAAAATTTGAAGTTTTTATTCGAAATCAATGCATGTGTTTATGAAATGTGAACATAACTTCAAATTCAGTTTCATATCCTGATTTGAAACTTCAAATTCTTGAAAGAGCAGGATTTCAAATTCCTAGTTATGATTTCACTTACTTTTTAAAACGGAAAAACTTGACGCATTTGTTTATATTTACAAACAACGACTCATCATTTTAGTGAAGAGATTGTTCGTACGTATTTCGTAGGAGAATTATATCGATAGCCAATTAGTAGTTACAACTATTATTAAATTATTTGACAACCGAGTAAATCTTTATAAATTTTTGTGAATTCAAAAATATGTTTGAACATTTAGTCACAATCATTATCTATTCACAAAAGAATATGTGGATATGCAATTTATTAATGCAACACCTTAAAATGCATCTTTTTCTTATTTATGAACTCTAATTTATTCATTTGGTAAGATTATACTTAAAAATTCAAATTACATATTCAAATTAAATTCCACTCAAATTCAATCAAACCTATAAGTATGTTCTTGTGTTCCACTATGGAGTATTAAATAACACAAGTTTCCCATTTAATTTCCTCATTCCAAGACTCATTCTTTTACTAAGAAAAATTCTTACAATATAAATAACCAACTAAGTTCCAAAATAACGAACCTAATTTTTAGGGAATCTAAGACAAATTCAAAGTCTTTTTTATACACATATTGAATGGCCCATTGTACTAGGTAATTTTTTTCTTCTTCCTTGAAGACAAATTCAATATACTTTTCATGCTAGTGTGGAGTAATAAAGACATGCACGTAATAAAGATAAGGGTATGATATAATTGAAAATTTTCATTCATAATTAAAAATATTAGATTCGAATTTCGAAAAAAAGAAGAAATTTTCTTGTATCACATTATAGTGGTCGGTCTACCTCACACAACAAGCTAATCTCTAAAGACTTATTTACGACTTACAAGTTAGTTCACGAAAATTCAATAGTAACTTTTATCGTTACTTATATATATGTATAGGAAATCTAAATACTAGAAAATATCTATAAATAATTAACTATATGAACCATTTATTGCTATAATATTAATTTGAGATAATTATAGAAATATATAAACTTCAAATACGTTTGTCCGTCACGGATTCTAGTGATTTTATTATTATTTTTTTAAAAAAAAAATATGCACGTACGCTGCAATTTCTGAAGCTTGGACTAATTGTGATCATGGTCAACCATGGCAACCTAAGATTTATTTAAATTCATCTTTTGGAATTTTAAATTCCATACTTTCTTCCTTATTACAAAATTCCAAAATTGGTTAGTTAATTATCTGTTGAAAGAATCTAAACTCATTAACATTCAATGTAGGAACGGAGCTAAAAAGTTTATCGTCAGAAAATTACTTTATATATAAAGTTATATATTATTATTTTCTTGCTATGTAAGTATATTAGATGTCAAACTGGTGATATTCGTCGGAGTTGATCTTTCAGACAATCATCTATCAACGAATAATTTTTATCTCAAAAAATCACTTATACATTTGTTTTATAACATAAAAATACTCCACTAAAAATAATTATCTCACAAAGTACGTAAATCAACGGTGTGTGTAATATAAAAATCACCTAGTTATTGTTATTTGAACAAAAAAAAAACTACTCAATCGATTCAGACGATAATTCCAATAGATATTGCTGGTGTGAAAAAAAAATTAAGCAATATTTTTAAAATATAAAAAGAGTGATTCGTCCTGGTAAAATAAATTTAGTGGTTAATAAAAATAAATAACTTTTTATATTTTTTTAAAAAATGTCTTAAGAAAACTTCCACGTCATAAATAAAAATATAACTTGAATTGGATAAGTTACTTTATAAATAAAATAACAATACTTGAGTATTTTTTTTAAATAAAATAAAGTCAAGTGATTTTATTAGATAAAAATTATTAGTTGAGTGTCAGTCTAAGAACTTAACTCAAATTTGATATTGCTCACATGACTAAACTAAAATGAGATATAACCAAACCTTTTTGTAGTAATGGTGTTTGATTAGATATATTTAGCAGATATAACAAATTACGCGTTATAGATCGGAGAACATATATTAGTAATATGATATAAAAAATCATTTTGATTTTTTAATCTTTATATTAAAATTTTATGATAGAGAATGGCATAGAGAGGGCGGTTATAAAATAACATACGTATTCAATTAATCAAAACCTTAAACCAATATATAAAATAATTCAATTTTGTTAACATGACTTTGATAAATGTTATTATAGTGTTCCCAATGACGTGCAACAAAATCATATATACATCATAGATTTGCTTGCGTAATTAACTTTTTTTATTTCCCACAATTATATCTTATTTTTTCTAATTGACTTTTTGTTATACATAAAAAATGAATTTGCCTGCAGATTTCTCTAATTATGGGACTAACTAATTTACTTGAAAATGAAAATTGAGGGAAATTAGAGGGTAGCGGGTAAGCTATACTAACAATTACATCACAATGTATATATATACAAAATTATATCACCTGTCTACCTAATTATTATTTTTTAAGAAAATAATTAACAGGTTAATTGAAATAATTTTAACTTAGCCGCAGAGGGCAATAACTAGTCTGATTGATAATATCAACTAAAAGAATAATTAGACTTGTCACGTTTGCTTATAAATTTTCAACTCCATCTTTATAAATTTGAAATAAAATGTTATTTTCTCTTCTTTACAAAAAAGTATAACCAAACATAATTATATTTTTTAAAAACATAAAAACAAGGATTTTTATTTGGAATTTTTGTCCAAACGCCTACTTTATGATGGAGAGAATTCCAGAAAAATATTCTTTATGAAATATTCTCTATTATTCAAAGCCTATCATTTGCTGAATTAGTTGAAATATTTAATTATATATATGACATTGCAATTAATGGAAAAATAAAACAAAATGTTAGTTGGAGTAGGTCAAGACAAAACATTTCAGCAAAGAGTTGTAGTATTAAAAAATCTTGTTCACAATAAAAAAAAATCACTTTTTTTCGAAAATATAATTTTAGAAAATTGTTTGAATATAAAAATGTTAAATAATTTTTCCTCATAAATTTCACTCCAAACCACTCACGAAAATTATGACACAACTTCAATTTTCAAATATCATTTTCAACTTGAAAATACAGTTCTACTTAATTTCAAATTTCACCTTTTTTTTATGTCTAATCGCCTACTTAATCAAAGTTCTTGAATTTAAACTCTGCTAAATACTAAGTTGTGTTTGTATCTAGTGCGTATCTAATGTGATTCACATGTATTTGGGGACACAAGACTACCTCCCTCTCACACTCGCTCACCTTCCCATTTTGCTCGCTTCTCTTCCTATTTTAGTGTATCTGATAACAAAAGTACATGTATTTAGATGTATAATCCTCAATATATGATAGAAAACTCTTAATTAATTGTAAGATACATAATTATTTAAAAGTATAGTAGAGTTAGTAAATATAGTATGAGTGTATGTCTAATAAAGTATATTTCTAATATTTTATCCTTGAGATAAAACTTTCAGACAAATAAGAGAAATTGCTCAGATAATAAACAAACCCCACCTCCAATCTTAAGATTGCATATTTGAGTAAAAAAAAAAAAAATTGAAACTCCAAGGAAGTGGTAAACAAAGAACTAAGAGAAACAAATTTGCTGACACAAAATTTAATCGAACTTCAATATGAATAGCAGGATCAGATGAAAAATCAACACAAAAATGTGTTGAAAGTCTTGTCTAGAGTCAAAATATATGGGCATGGCTTCAAGTATATAAACAAAATTTTAAACTTTCCATGAAAACCTCCCCTTTGCCTTTCCCCTACTCCTAATTCTTCTTGCTTTTTCACATTCTTCCCCACTAATTTAAAAAAAAAAAAAATTATATAAAAACCAAAATTGAAGAACCCAATTTCAAGAATCATGAAGTTTTCTTTTCCATTTCTCTCATGTTTTAGCTCATCAGCAGATACTTTGGAAGGCAGCCAAACCCCATATGGTAAATTTCTCAAAACCCCTTTTTGCTTCTTACTTAAAAATCTCATCTTTTTTACATATTTCTTAAGAATATCAATTCTAAAAACAGGTGGACAAATTTCCCAGAATTTTTCAGTGTACTCTTACAATGACTTGAAAGCTGCAACTCATGGATTCAGAGCTTCAAATAAAATTGGAGAAGGAGGTTTTGGTTCTGTTTACAAGGTGAATAAAAAAATCTGTTTTTTTTTCAGTTGGCTTTGAAGAAAATGGAAAAAAGGGGATGTGGGGTTTTGTTTTTTTTTCTTTTTTCTGTTTTGTGAATTGACTGTTTTTATGTTTTATTTGGGGCTTTTCTTGAAAAGGGTCGGCTTCAAGATGGAAGCTTTATGGCTGTAAAAGTTCTTTCAGTTGAATTGGAATCAATGAGAGGGGAAAGGGAATTTGTATCAGAAATAGCTGCATTGTCTGATATCAAACATGAAAACCTTGTCAACCTCAGAGGATGTTGTGTTGATGGAGCACATAGACTTTTAGTCTATGATTACATGGAAAACAACAGTCTTTCCCTAACATTTTTAGGTAATTTCCTAAAATTGCACTTGTTTAAGCTGATCCCTGACTTGTTTGGGATTGAGGCGCAGTTGTTGTTGTTTGCAGTTGTTTTAGCCTTTCTCGACTTGTTTGGGATTGAGGTGTAGTTGTTGTTCTTTGCACTTGTTTTAGCCGATCCCGACTTGTTTGGGTTTGAGGTGTAGTTGTTGTTGTTTGCCCTTGTTTTAGCCGACCCCAACTTGTTTGGGTTTGAGGCGTAGTTTATATTGTTTGCACTTGTTTTAGCCGACCCTGACTTGTTTGGGATTGAGGCTTGGTTGTTGTTCTTTGCACTTGTTTTAGCCGACCCCGACTTGATTGGGACTGAGACATAGTTGTTGTTTCACTTTTGTATGTTAGTTGAGGCTGTGTCCGATTGTTTGTTTTGACTAGCAGGTGGGGAGCAAAACAGAAGCAAATTTACATGGACACTTAGGAAAGAAGTTTCGATAGGAATAGCAAAGGGACTTTCATATCTCCATGAAGAAGTGAGTCCACATGTTGTGCATAGAGATATTAAAACCAGCAACATACTCCTTGATGAGAATTTTACACCAAAAATTGCAGATTTCGGTTTGGCTAGGCTGTTTACGGAGAACATGTCCCATATTAGTACCCGAGTAGCCGGAACATTGTAAGTTACATCATTTAGATGTTCATTTGGAATTTTGAAAGATTCATGTTTGTGAACTCCACTAGTCTTTGTTGCTGATCATGTTGTGAATTTCTTGAACTCATCTTATGCCTAAAGAGGCTATCTTTCTCCAGAATACGCCATCAGTGGACACTTAACACGCAAGTCAGACGTTTATAGCTTTGGAGTCGTGTTACTAGAAATAGTCAGCGGTTCACCAGTAGTTGCATTCGACATTACTCGAGGAGAGCATTTCCTTGTTAACAAGGTACATTTATTACTTTTGACTTATGTGTAGTCTACGATTAGTTTCAAACAAGACTACATATATAGATGCTTATATGAAAGAAAATATGTACTATTATTATTACCATTATCAATGATTGACTTGTAACAGTCTATAAACCAAACAAGTGGGAACCATGATTTTGACTCTTAATATAATGATAGTATTAGTTTGTTGGCTTGATTTGACATGAAAGTTGTCAACTTGTGTTGTGTTTTTAGGCATGGGAAATGTACAATGCTGACCAACTATTAGAGCTAGTGGACCCTGTTTTGGATAGAGAACTTTTGAACGACGACGAAGCTCTCCGATTCTTGAAGGTTGGCCTCCTCTGCGTGCAAGAGAACGCCAGCCTCCGCCCCAAAATGTCCATGGTCATCAAGATGTTGAGTCGAGATGGCGCGATAATAGTAGATGAAATGAAGATTACTCAGCCTGGGATTGTTGCTGATCTAATGGATGTTAAGATAGGCAGAAAACACTCTTCTCAAAGCTTTTTTTCTAAAGCTTCTACAAGCATGAGCCCAGGAAGCCCCTTCCAAATAGTTAAAAGGAGAAAAAGCAATAGCTAGAAATTAGTCGAGGTACGCACAAGCTGGTTCAGATACCACGATTATTAAAAAAATAGAATGTACTTGTACAAAGAGTATATTGTGCACACACATAGATACATTTGCACTAAGTTTGCTCACTTTTTTTTGATGTTAGATCAGTTGTATATCAATGTGAGCAGCTAGGTCTTTAATTTTTTCAATTTTTTTTTTTTGGAATATTTGGTTCCATTTGATGTAAAAGCTACCCTTAATAACATTTTTTTTAATTTTTTCAATAATTGAGTAGGTATATTGAGCATTTTCATATCATTAGAAGGGATAAACAACTATTATCAAGTAGTATATAAAATAACAAAATCACAAGGCATTATTAGAGTGACATCTATTAGTAAAAAAGTTTATTTGCAATTTTGCACTCAATATTTACATCAAAACATATTAATTTACCATGTTTAAATCAAGAAAACTACCATAAAGAAGTGAGGATAGATATACAATTATTGCTGATTGTGAAAGGGACATTAATCTATTAACCACTAATTAATTATTGATATGGTTGACAAATGATTCATTATTAGTGTTATGATATGGATTTTGAGATGAAAAAGACATCTTGAAAATATAAAAAAGTAGTAAGGGAACTTATTAGGGGCTTGTGGCTGCTAACACCAAAGAGTTGACATAGTGTAGATGCTATGGTAGATATCAAATTATTATATCAAAAATTTGATATTATGATATACTTAGTATGTATTTTAAAAGAAAATTGAAATTCAATATGATCTAATATTTATTAAAAATAATACATCAAAATACCGAATATCATATCAAAATATATAATACATATATAATTCATTTATATTATTATAATAATAACAAAATTATAAATTAGTATTAATATAATATTAATTATTTAGATGTTGAAACTTTGACTATTCTATCTTGATTGAAGTGTCTATTTTGTGTAATTGATTAACAAAGGAAATTGTTTGTATTTTCTCTTGAATATTTCTACATGTTTAAGGTGTTAATATGATATAATTGGGAGATTTCTTGAAAAATCAAAGTTATAATTATCTTTTACGTAATTTTATATAATTCAAAATGAAAATAATTGTAATTACCGATTCACCGTATCAATACTAATTAAACTAATCAATCCAATTGGTATGTCAATAATATAGTAATTTTAAAAATCAAACATTGAAATTATCGAATCAATTTTTTTAATATTATATCATATCCATCTGAACGCCCCTAAATTGATGTTTATACCAAATCAAATAATTTCATGATGAATATGGTTGTATGTATATATTGTACTGGTTGTTATCATTAGATCATAATTGACCAAACACATATGCAGATCCTTAAACTTGTCCCTAAATTTCATTTTGGCACTCCAACTCAACCTTGTTCCATTTTAACCCTTCAACTCCAATTTTTATGTTCCATTTTGGCACTTCTTTCCAAAGAATCAACAAAGTGGGATGTGTGTACTTCACATGCCATTATTGTGTTGAAAAATAATGGATGAACATCATTTTTTAAAAAAAATAAAATTTAGAGTTTCTGTACATTATTGTGTGAAAAAATAATCGGTGAAAGTGTGTTGATTTTTTTTTTTAAAACAATTACTTAATTTAAATAACATCACATATATTTTTTTTCATATCTAGTCTACTTGGACTAACTCAAAATATCAGCTTTCTAATTTTTCATTCAACTAAATACGAGTAAAAAAAACTCATGTTCATTGCTAATTAATAACACTTAACAAAAAAATGTTGAAACTCGATAGACTTCGTTGGGTTGTCATTGATTTTTTAAGAAAGAAAATCGACGCACTTTCATCGGTTATTTTTCACGCAAAAATATAGGAAAACTCTTAAAAAGAAATGATAATCCGTCAGTTTTAATTTTTACAATAATTAACAGATGATCGTCGATTTTTAAAATGCAAAATTGCAGTTGAATAACATATATAGAAATAAAGAAATCATAAAATTAGTATTTTGTGTTAAATGGTACATAAAAGAAATAGAGTTGAAGGGTAATCTTTTATTATTTTTCTAAAAAATACTTTTTTTTTGTCTTTCACTCTTAGAGAATGTGTGATGCACACTCTCTGCCACATCACTTAGAAGTGCCAAAATGGAACATAAAAAATTGGAGTTGAAGGGTTAAAATGGAACAAGATTGAGTTAGAGTGTTAAAAATGAAATTTAGGGGACAAGTTTAAGGGTCTGCATGTGTTTGGCCATCATAATTCATTACTACACATTCTCATATGGGACAAGATTTTGGTATCAATAGATTGTTTGTCAAAGATATTGTTTTTTATTTATTTATATATAATTATTGTATTTGTATTCGGATCAATTCAAGAGGTTTTAGTGAAAGGGGGGCAAACTTTTTAATTATTAAAAATAGAAAAAGAAAAAAGAAAAAAAGACAACACAACTGAAAAACAGGTCATTTTGTTCTTATTCACCACAAATGACAATCTTGTACGGAGAGTCTTGTTTGGCATTGCTGTTAAAAATAACTTATTTTTAGAAACACTTTTTTGAAATGACTTTTAAAAAAATATTTTTGAAAAAAAACAATTTGTATTTGATTAATTCATTTGAAAATTGCTTTTCATAAGCAAAATTGCATTTGACTAATCTTTTTCAAAAAGTGTTTTTAAGAGTCAAATTACAAGAAAGGACAACTATTAATTTCCTTCTAATATTAAAATCATTTTATAGAGAGAAACTATTTTAAATATCTATCAATTAAATGTTATTTTTTAAAATTAAAATGTGTTCTATTCTAGTAAGAAGTGGTTTTCCTTTTTAAGCCTTACGCGATATACTTAGATATAAAAAAAAAAGATATTCATATCATGTGGGAAAAAAAGAAAGGTTACATTGAATGATCACATCTTTAACTAATTTAGGAACATAATTACAATTGAAGTGTTAGAGATGTAAGAAATTAGTGACCTAACTAATGGGTAAACATAATAATCACCATTAGCATAGAATTTAGAATTAGCCTCAATTTTTGGGGTCAAAAAATATATTTTTTTTAAAAATCTAGTACCAAAGATAAGATTTTTATTTTGTCACTCTTATATTATCCTTCATTCATCCTTTATTTCATTAATAATAGTAGAGTCTCTTTGTCTAACAATTTTTATTGATCAATTTCAACCAACCCCACCTTCAACCACTCACAGAATTTATTTATTTATTTTGGAAAATATATTATTTCCTCCAAGAGGGATTGACCCAAAGTGGAAAATGTGATGGCATGAAATTATATAGAAATATAAGTGCTACTACCCCCAATCAATTAGTCTTATGTGAATTTTAAAAATATATCCAAGCCACACTTGGTTTTAAAAAAGAAATATTGATACCCCATTTGAGTTTTCATTTAATGTTGATCATAATTTTGTTTAGCTAAACAAGGAACACTATTAACTACACAAAGTAAATCACATTTTAAATGTTTTTATGAAGTTACATAAAATTTACTTGTGAATTTATTTCTTAGTTGAAATGGACACCACGTGATATCCACCACGTGATATCCACCTCATTAAAATATCAGCGCATTAAAAGATTAGGTGTCCACCCTAGACAACCCTAACAAATGAAGTGTATATTCAAACTATTTAGATAACAACAAAAGTATTTTAATATAAATTATGTAACAGTTGATAAGATCGATTCTTTTCGTATAATAGAGGGCAAATCTGACCCTTTTTCCTTTTATTATTACTAAAAAAAATTAATAAGCCATGAGTTTTGAATACTTAATGTCAAAAGAGGAGTCACCAAAATTAGACAACCCGTCTAGAATCAAGACTTTGTCCTTAGTGTGACATAAATGGAAGTTTGGTCAATTGACCAAGTACCAACAAAATTAAACCATCTATGAGACCATGACTTCTTTAAGAAAAAAGACTTTGGATTTGGATTTAGACTTGGCTTTCATTAAAGTTTATGAATTTCTATAACGATAATCAGATTCACAATCTAATATCTGAGTGGATTTTAACATTTATACAAGATTTAGGAGAAAATTATACAGTTTACCTAAACTTATAAACCAAATAGTAAATTCACCCTTGATATGTTGAATAGTTCAAATATACAAGATTGAGTGTAAGCAGATCTTACCTTTACCTTCGTGGGAGTAGAGAAACTGTTTCGGAGAATAGTTTTAATATAGTACTAATATATGTTACTTTCAAGAAGGAAGATAGAATTCACTATTGACCATGGTTACATGTTTTCTCCAATTTTTCTTTGCTAAGAACTGGTCATGCTAGCCCATATCTTTCTCTTTTAGAACAATTCTAGTTCTAGGCTTCTAGCAATCATTTCAAACTAAAAATGAGTGCAGGAAGAAAAAGTCTTCCAATTAGCCACTGTATAAAAATTGGACCAAAATTGTCCACTTTTGCAAACTTGAGGAATATTTTATATTCAGTAGTAGTATGGATAAAAGTTTTTTTTAAAAAAATTCATCATCCATTACTTAAAGGACTATCTTGGTTTTCCCTGTATAGACTTGAAAAAATAAATAGAAACTAAGCTAGCTTGGGAGTAGATTTTGAAAAATTTATCTTCAAATATCAGTTTGACTATAAAATTTGTTCTTTCAAATATTTTCAAGTTCCCAGACCAATTTTTGGGACTTCCACGCACAAAACTTCAAGTAAAATGCATGTTCAAACATAACTTCAATTTCCAAAAATCACAACTTCAAAAACTTAAATTTTCAAGTTTCGAATGTCAACTTCAAAATCTATGCCCAAACAGGAGTTAAATATCAGTAAAGCCTTAAAAGCATCATAATTTCTAGGCCTAAACTCACTTACTAACTGAATTGTGACAATAGACTGACACCGCTTTCTCAAGATCTTGTGCACGGGACTAGAAAAGAGAAGCGAATCCAGAATATGGGTAGAGAAACTATCTTTGATAGACCCTCGACTCAGACTAAAAGAAGATTATGCAAGCTAAAAAAAAGGAATAACTTGTCTATGAAAATTTCAAGTAAATAAACAACTCTAGAAATGCTTGACATGAAACTCTATACATGCTTGGCTCCTAGAATGCCATCTGAAAAGGCCATCAATTCTTGGTGGAACAATGCAAATGGCATACAAGGAGCCAGGCATGTTATGTTATCTATCACGAAAACAAGAAAACTTACCTTGCTGGAATTCCAGACTCTTTTAAGATTGAAATGAAA